TATTTAGCCATGGCCAGTACTCGTACGGTGGGCGGAGCGGTAACAAGAAGAAGCCGGAAAGTAGTGAAAGTATTTATTACTTAACTAATGTCAACAAGACAAATAAAGGTGCAAGTAATTATTAAAATATAACACTCAGTCTGCACAGTCTTCACAGTCTGCACCACGGGCTGCACAGTCCGGACTGCATGTCTGCAATCTGCGGTCTGCAGTCTCGATGGGCCGCGTTTTAACATGTACACGACCGGAAATCTACATCTACCAACGGATTCAACTTTCGAATATTTATTTAATATCTATGGAACCTTGGGAGGTACGCTTGACCTGTCTTGACTGTGAACTCTAGACCAAATTGTTTTAAATTCTACAGAATTTACTAGCGTTCTCTGTGGTGGGTGTTGCAGAAGGGAATACAGGATGAAGTTTGTTTTCGGTTTTCACCTTGCCTGCATTTCACTGATGTTGATGTTCCAGATTGTCAGCACGCTGCCGCACTCTCCAAAACACCAAGAGGTGAAGTACTATGTAATACATTGCTTATTTCTTCCATTTGTATTTATTTATTTATACTATTTTTACATTTCAAATTTCTTTCATATCACGTCTTCACTTCATTCGGGGAAGCAGAATGTAAGCGAATTTTGCTATAATTTGCCCTGGCTTACTTGAAACTTATAACGCGTTATCGCGTGTCGGGTTGTGAAAATTGCAACATTTCTGTGAACAACGGAAAGTATCGCGTCGGATTTCAGCCCTGTGATTATAAATATTTCCAAAAAAGCGCTCTTAGATACCAACTTTGGCCTTCGTTTTCTCAGCGTATATTTAACGAAAATGCTTCATTTTTGGAATTTGTGTTCAGGTTAATAGTACTTTTCAAATAAGCTATTTTATAAGCATGATCATTTTTTGACTTAATAGCAGTTCTAATACTTATCGTTGTATGTAAGAGCCTGAAGAAGGAAGGCCGTGCCTTCCGAAATATTGATAGCACTAGCAATAGTTGACACTACAGCTGTCCCCGCCTTCGGCCTCGGTGGATAACACCCCCCTCGATTTGCTTAATTCTTCGTATCCTACTCAGCCTCATTCACTGATTGCTTTTTCATTCATTCAAAGTAATTCCTAGTTTAAAAACACAGCTAAAACATGCTTACCTTCATCGATGTTAAGTTCTTCTTCGATAGTGTACGTTTAGGTTTGTCCAGCTCCCCAAATATTCTCCAAATAGCAGATGTCGCCCTCCTAGTTGTCTTCTTGCTGTTTTTGCTATGTTTTTAGCTATTATTTCGCCTAGTTCCAGCTGTAGTTCTTACTCTTGAAACGGCGAGTGAAGTGTCCTCCATTTTTGTTTTCACAACCAAAACAACTCAACCTTGTCCCCAGGTCTTTTCGATAACGGTGCCTTAACCTGTAGCGGGCTGCGGTTTTGACGTCATCTCCTCGTTAAACACAAAATTCTTCCAAATTTGGTAATCAGTAACTGGTTAAGGTGAATTATGTTTGTGCTTTTAGCCAATCAGAATTGGGGAAATGTTTTGAATGAATAATAATGTCGGTTAATAGTATTCTTGGTCGTTGTCTAGCTCTTTTCACACATAATCCATCCAATAGGTGAGATGTAAAAACAGGAAACGCAAGATTTCATGCACAGCTTCAGTTCTATTTACACAGCTTTGATCAAAACATTCTCAGTTTCGAGAATAGTTTATTCTAAACCATAAGAAAAGATTTAATTAGAAGCTGAATTTTTCGCTATTTCTCTTTCACATTTTACATACAGTTCATTTTATTTGCCGGAAAGTAAGCCTTAGAAATTAAAAGGACGTTTGATCAACTCACGCTCGCGCATTCTAGTCTTATTTTAAACTTCATAGCGGAAGGACATCTGTGAGCAGGGAATAAGTCAGCACAGAATTTGATTGTCGGCGAATTTCTGTAATCGTCCATCGTTCTGCTAGTGATAAGCTAGCCGTTGATCCACTCGTCTTGCTTGTTTGGGGCTGAGTCTAGCTTCTTCAGGTCAAAGAGAGAAAATTACTGTCTGGCGAGGTTTCCAATCAAAGATTTGTGAACTCCGGCGTGTCTGGCAAACTCTCCAAGTGTTTATAGTATATATACCTGATATATACACAGTTATACGCACCTTCACTTCATCTGCGCTTAACGCGTGTCTTTTGGTCCATAACTTTCAAAACAACTGCTCCACAGAATGTCACCGACAACGCATAACACAAAAGAGTATCGAAGTGTGACACAAAATCTACCTATAAGCGGTCCCTTCGGGATTTTCTGTCTTTACGTCATCCTAACCATCTCGTACTTGCGGGCACGAACAATAGAAACGTCATCATTACCTACCGATTCCTCGCGGCCCCTGTTCAAGCAAATCGAGATTTTTTCTGGCATACTGACTGTATATTTCAACTGTAAGTGCTTTCCTAGATAATCTATACGCGCGAGTTACTAGAGTGCCTCCTCGGGATTTCGCCCTCTGGGCGAAATCCCTGTGGGGGCAAGATATTCAGTTATTCCCGCTGTAAAATTATCCTTGCTTCGTTTGTTCGATAATTTAACTTATAGCTGATTAGTACAGGTAATCACATGATTTCGAGGGCAATTTGGAACAAATAAGCACGAGTAAATTTTTTCAAAGACTAACTACAAAATTGCGCGAGCCCGTAGGGCTAGTGCAATTTGTGGTCTTTGAAAGATTCTGGGTTATTCCCTCGAGTTTTCCGCTCCTCCAGAGAATTTCTTCTTCCTCCTCTGATACTTGCGAGCTTTGTTTGGGCGCTTACCACGGCCAGCCAAGCGAAGCTGTTTCGCTTTGTCCTCCAACACCTTTTTGGACGAACTAATTCTCGGTCACGTACAATGGACAGGATGCAGCCTTTGTTCCCTAAGTGTCTATCAAGCAATGCCATCATTACTTTAAGGCTTTCTGGTTTATAATCTTCACCTTCTTTGTTTGTCTTCGGCGTAGAAATGCTCGAGCAAAGTGTTAAACCCAGCCGTCTCATAATTTTCTATGTCATCAGTAATTTCCTCATCTACGCACCAATTATTCGAAACAGAGAGCCAAAAACCAGTGCGTTTCGCAGTGTTTTCGTTTTTAGAGCAGTTGTTTCAGTCGCAAAAGCAAACGTGCCGCAAATGCCCACCATTGCGGTTTTTGCTCGAAACTGGTCCGGAGCGGATCCAAATTTTGCGCCATTAAGATGGCGCATTTGATTGGCTCTCAGTGAGTTCCTTTGTTTATTAGCCAATCAGAATGTCACGTTTGTTACTCTTTTCTGCACTAAATTACCCTTTTTCTGCATCGTGTTACCTAAAAACTGCATTTCTCTTAGCCAATCACAATCGAGAAATTTTTTCATGTATATTGTTAGATCCTTTAATAGGATCTGGTCCTTCTTTTTTGTAACGTTGGTCCTTGATTCCAAAATTGAATTTGTCGTACTATGGAATTTTTGCCGATCATTTTAATAACTCTTGCAACTTTAAACAGTTTTCTGGAAAAGCGAAAATGGATCCATCGGTTCAGTCGGTACCTAAAAGATTATCTACTTTTTAAGTTTTAAATCTTAAATTTCTGAATTTTCACGTAAATTATAAAATATCAAACTTAATTTTCAGCATTTCATATACATCTATTTTAGCTTTTTCATATTTCATCTTAAACCGTAGTCAGATGCGAATATATTATATTTTTTGTAATACACACAGAGACTACTCCTCAAGCATTTTACTGCTTTAATACTGATTGCGTTTAAATAAAGGATATTCATTTTATACATTCATTCCTTCATTCATCTGTCTCAGGATTGTGTCACGGCGGACGAGGGAAGTTTGTGTCTCTGTAAAAATCCTTCTCTGTACGTAAAGGGATTTTGGAGAAATGACCCGCCACAAGACTCTTATCCCAGGTCTCTCCGCTGCGGTGCCGCCATTACCTCGAATTTTCACGTCGATTATTGTCGATTTGAGGGAAATTGGTCTATTGATTTGACGACGCATGAGTAAGTAGTCAAAGAAACTATTTCTTTTAAATTATTTCGGCATTATTAATTATAAAGTGCTTGTTTAATTTGGAACCTTGCATTGGACAGGGGCACCCAACGAGAATATAGTTCAAAACCACTTAAACATAGCATTGTTAAACGTATTTTGGTATTAAAACGGTAGATATAGGCATATTTTTATCCCCTAAAAATTTTTCATCTGTTCGGATTTCTTAGCTGAAAGTCTAGTGATTCGAAAATTATAGGGATCAAAAGTTACCTTTTCGAAAATTTCAGCCAGAGAAAAGGCTCCCGAAAATTGTAGGTGACCTTTTTAGGGTAAAAATCCGTTGAAAATGGGCAATTATACCATTTTTTAGATGTTCGAAAATTCTAGGAGAGGCGACAAGCAAGAAATTTTGGAAAAAATGTTCCGAAAATTCTAGATCTCAAATCGTCTTCCGAACAGATATTTTCCGAAAATTGTCGTTGGGTGCCCCTGATTGGACTTTACGTACATTGCGCTTTGTCAGCTTAGTCGTCTATTCTCTTTATTAGTATGCCTGATCAGCTAATGTTAAGCCAGATCTTTATTATTATTATTATTATTATTATTATTATTATTATTATTATTATTATTATCTTGGGGAATTTAACAATATCTAGCAGCGATCTGATTTTCTACTATGTACTGAGGACTGAGGACATGTCGTTTGTTGGGTGGAATGATTAAATTGTAGTCATTTTGCATATTTTAAGCTTATTGTGTTCAACATCGCCCTTGAATTAAAAAGAATAGGTGCGGTCTTACTAGACGTCTTCCCCAAGGCTCCCAATGAGGAAATAGCTTGGGTTGGGTTCACACTGGGTTTTGATCGATTTCATGTTTGCGGTTACATAGACGTAGCCATAAATTGCCCGCGGGAAGAAAATACTTGAACCCGGTTTCCCGGGAAAACGTCGTTTTATGAAACATCATTGAAGGCTTATGAAAATCGTAAATGTCTTCGACTATTTTACCCAACAAAACCCCCACATCAGTCTCTGAAGCGTAGACTAAAAACGAAGACGTCTATTTGATTCACGCTTAAAAGAAAGGCATTCGGCAAATTCTCGCTCAATAGTCAACGGTTTTACAGAAATGATTTCAACGATTTCATAAGGAAAGAACTGAACTCTTGAACGCTGATGTAAAGAAAACTTGCGAGTGTTTCAAGGTGCTTTTGAATGTACTTAACGTAAAAACATGAAAAACATTCACAGAAGTGCTCAAAATCCTGCTGAATTTTCAAACTTTGAGTTCAGTTACCGCGTAGGATTTGGCGCTAAGAACAACACGTGATCTCTACAGCTTGGCACATTTCAATTTCTCGTGTTTGGTTGGGCCGCTTTGGGTTTTTATTAACCCATAGAACTTACCCCAGTAACTGTCATGGGTAATTCGTTTCTTCTTTTTGACGTATCCATGGAAATTTTCCCGAGACAATTTTACCTTGAGGAAATCGGTCACACACAACAGGTAGCTTCCTTATGGGCAACAGCCATTTGCCCATTGGTAAAATCGCTGGTATGACCCCGCCCACTAGTCGAATATGCAGTATATTTTTCCCATTTTGAGAAAAAAACACTTAAAATCCTGTCACATTACAGAGGTCAATTGTGATGAAATACTGAGGTATTGAATCGAATAAAATTGTGGGTATTCAAGAAGTACCGTTGAAATATCTTCATTGATATTGAAATGTCATTATTTATTTAGGTTAGCTTTGCATTTTTTTTGGTTTTTCAGCAGGAATATTTCTTGTCCCAATGCTTTTTTCGTGTCGGGTCTCTATTTCCCTTCGAGAGACCGGTATTTCACTTACATATATTGTTGTCCTCCTCGCAATCACCCCGAGAGTTATGAAGAGTGCTATGTGGAAGATGTTTTTAGTACCTCGTTCAACGGTGCGGACGTGAGCGAATGTCAAAGGAAAGGCTATTTCATTACCGGCTTCTACGAAAAGAATCACGACTCTTCACCTTTTCCTCTTCCTCGTCTTGAAAAGTTTTACTGCTGCAAAATGGCAGGTAATTGTGTCCTCTTCGTCACTTCCATACCTGATTGCAGGAAATTATAATGCGAATTTCAAAAATTCGCGTTAATTTCAAGTCGCGTTAGTTTTTGTAAACGTTAATTTCCGCGACTTTAATTTCCATTAGTTTGGCCCCAAATTCTCTATACGCTCCTGACAATCTTGTCACCTAAGAAAGAGAAGAAGTAGTATATCAGGGTGGGATTCGGCCAGTATCAGTGAAACTGTAAAAAAACCCTCAATACGATTGACCTCCACCGTCTTGATATCGATGAACATCTTCCAAATTTGACCAACACTAATCCTTGTTATTAAGCCGTACATGGCAATCAAGAACGGATTAACTTGTGAATGAAGTAATGATAAGCGGTTTTCCAACTAACCTCAAAATTATCATTATTTCTTCCTTCTCCCGCCGTCTGCCGACTTTTGCGCTCCCCTCGGAAAAAGTACTCCTGATTGCACGTTGTAAAATTCGCAGCTATCTGGTGTAAAGTCCAATCATTGGGAAGTGGGCAAGTTGCAATTTAATTAATGATCCGGGTTAGATGGATAGCAATTTCTTTTGTTATGCGGCAACGGTGCTTTCCCCACATAGGAATGTTCTCATTTTTACACAGAGAATGCATAAACCTACATGAAGGCCGTTTACGCAATAAAATGCATTCACACTCCACTTTGAAAGGGTATTTTTTTGTGCTAAAAGATTTTGACCAATCACAAGAGTTGAAAACAATAGCCAAGAAAAGTTTACAATTTTACATGTTCCCCACATAGGATTTCTTTTTTATTCAAACTGAGACCAGATTTTGTTATATGGAAGATGGTTGGAAATATATGTACTGCTTTATGAAGTTTTGTTAACTTTTGCTGTTTAAGCCAATCAGAAGTAAGTACAGACAATAGAAAAGTTAGCACCTTTTTTGCATTCCAACATGTTCGTTGCCGTAACTTGCTATCGTTCTTATCTGGACCGTTTCTTAAACTGAATAAGCAGGTAAAATATAGTAAGAATAATAAACGTTTTCTTGTGCTTTTATGACCTGATAGGATACGTTTGTTCTTGCGGCTCTGTGAACTGATAAAAGGAGCTGTATCAGGAAATTCAGCTTAAAACCGCCACGGGGAAGTCTCCACTGAACTGAGCAAAAAAAAAAAACATTGTAATTGAGGAAGGTTTAAATATCTGACAAACAAAAGAGTGCACTGATAGTCTGATTAAACCGGGATTGCATTTGAACTCTTTGAATGGTATAGCTAGTAACTGTTACTTGTAACATTAATTAGTATTAAAAACTGAATCATTGGATAATGCAATTCTAGAGCTCTGATTGGCTTAGCCATCATGGTATATGAGCCATTATATCATGGTCTCCAAATATGGTAACTGTACGCGTCTGCTCAAAATTTAAAAACAAGCTGAAAATCGATTGTTTTACAAATAAAGTAGGGAAGAATTCTCAATATTTTGTGAGAGTTTTTAATAAAACAATTATTCCACTCGCGCTTGTTGGATGGGAGAAAGCATTAACTGATATAACAAGAAAAAAATCACGACTTAAATAAAAGTACCACCCAAAAAATACTTGCCAAATTTTCCCACCCCAACTGAAAAATCCCGGAATCAAACATTTCAACGGCCTAAAATATCCTTGGATCATCCCGTCCCTTAAAATCCGAAGTACCCCCCCCCTCCCCTGGGTGCACAGCACGTCAAAAAATGCAAACCTTTAAAATTCGACTTACTGTTTCTCTTGCAGATCAACAAGAAGGCCTGGAAACGAATGATGATCACCTTTAATTCTCTGTAGCTGTACAATAAGGAATAATTATATTTATTATAGTTTATGAGGGAATGATCTGATCATCATCCTCTCTTTTGGTAAAGGTATCGTAAACTGTTTAGCTTACAGTATATCCTCATATGGATATTGAAACCAGAATTAAAAAGTAAAATTTACCTGTGTATCATTTCAGCATTCGCTTATTAGTATGGGACAAATAAAGCATTATAAAATTAGAAAAATTGAGGGGCGAAAACTTGTCGATAACGAGCTTTTGCTATGACGTCCAGTAATCAGTGACTAAGTAAAGGTGATGGAACGCTTAACCCTTTAAGCCTCAAGATCCAAATACAAATTCTCCAGACTGATCTCCATACATCTCTTTTAAGAGTAGTTGAGAGAATTTGGTTTAAGATCAAAGTGTTTTCCCTTTGGTAATCAATTTAGTAATTCTCATGACCTTTACGATATGGTCAGTGGATACCATGCTTTTGACAGTTGTCAATTGACCATAATATGGGTGTCTATCGTCAAGTTAAACACAGGCTTCAAGCCCATCACCTAAAATTTTTTATTTTCTTATCTGAAAGTACACCTTGTTAAAAGAAGAACTGCGAAAAAAGTGTGCGATTTGAACCCAAGACCATTTTTTTAGAATTTTTTTGAAACGTTCAAATTTGCCGCCATTTTGCCACACCATTCGTCTTAGTCTTTCGTGGGAGTATGACGTTTATATGACGTACTTTAAGGAACACGTGACCTTGTCGACAGGAAAACATTAAGAGTTCTGATAGGTTTTTCTTTTTCAGAAAAACTTTTTGCTTGCGAAGACATTGTGATTCAATCCTTCCTTGTAATTTTTTATTTGTGTACAGCTGGTGAAGGCAAGGTAATGCCAGTTCCTTAATTTACGTCACATGACGTCATATGTGAGCCTGCTAGATTGCATGATCAGCGGCGCGGGTGTACCGCAAAAATGTAGACTTCAAAAATTGGTTAAAAAATCGCGTTTTGTTCAAACCGGAAAATTTTTTCGCAGAAGTTATTTTAATAAGGTATAGTTTCAGATAAGAAAATATAAAATTTTAGGTGATGGGCACTTTAACCATAGCAATAAAGTTTGACATTTCACATTGGGTACACTGTGGTGCGGACGGACCGGCGGACATTTGATCGCTTGATTAACAGGATTTCTCGGATAGACAGATTACCAAATTTTCTTAGGTATTGGGCTCCGCTATTATATTTCGATGCCAGTCGATAAAAATCGATACAGAAATCGATAACGATTGATTTCCCGATTATTACTATCGATTATTATCGGAAAAAAGACTTCATTCAGTAGGGTTTCAACATTAACACGATGTTGTCTGTACGGTATTATTAAGTCATTCGAATTCAGTCTTCATAGTATGCATTTCTAATTTGCTTTGAAAAACACTAAAAGAACAAAAACTATAACGTTGGGACTGACTTAACAACGTATAAATTACGCTTATTTGTATGCAATGTGAAATAACAGCTTTCGCTGCACCCAACCAAGTACGAATCCTTATGTCCGTGTCAAAGATGGCAGCGATCTCGAGGACTTCAATTCCCGTGCATACACCGCATTGAACTGGTTTCTAATCTGGGTTGGTTTGGAAGGAAAGAAATGCAAGGTGAAGTCGATAGTGCTGAATTGAATGGACATGTTGGAGTCGCTCGGGGGTGAATAACACTGGATATCGCGAAAAAAACTATCCACTGTTTTAGTATACAGCTACTGTCATTACACGTTGTCGGAAGAAAAAACAAGCCAAGACCGCAAAGTGATATGGGATTTTTATAATGACTAGCTATCATAGGCGCGTTGTTTATGAAGAAAGTCTTGGGCATGACAGCATCCACACCACTGTGGAACGTTATGTTAGAGACTGAATTTCTTAACCTTTCGACTGAAAACTGAAGCCTTCAATGAGTAGGGCGCTTAAGCAACGACGACCGCGACGTTAACGAGAACGGCAAAAATAAATAGAGAATATTACACGGTGGCGAGAAGATATGAATTTTATGTTCTCGTGGCAGAGCAATATCTCACTCGTTCGCTGCGCTCACTCGTGAGATATTGTTCTTGCCACTCGAACATAAAATTCATATCTTCGAGCTAACGTGTAATATTCTTTTTATTATATAAACATACTGATGACGGCGTTTTTGATGATTTTCCGAAGATTTCCGAAGATTTTTCAAATTGTCCCGAAGACCAGACGAACGTTCCCGAACATTTTCCAGGAATTTCCGAAGATGTCCGAAGATTTCCGAAGATTGCCGAGCACTGTCGAGGAAGACCCGAAGATGTTTCGATGATACACCAACGAATTTAAGTACAATTTAAGAGAAAAACCTGATGTCAGTGAAATTATCGATATCTTCACATGTAAAAATATCGTATTTTTACGTGTGTTCAGATACCACATTTCTCGGTGGTAGAAATCCTTGTAAAACACTGCAGTTTATATAATAAACAAGAATCACCGAAAGGCGATTTTTAACTGGGCTGCCAAGGGGCTATTTTTTCTGAGGGGAGGGGGCGGCTATACACACTCAGGCTACCATAAAACCTTGTCGGCAACCATTGCATGCGACAGAACCTCGTGTGAGACTGAAACATAAACTCATTCAAAACATTGTACCCTTTTGAAAGACTTTCATAACCCAAAAAAAAAGAGTACCATTTTTAAGTGGGGGCTGTATAATAACTTTTAAATTCCACCACTATGAATAAAAATAGACAAGTTAGCCATTAATTCTAAGCAGGAAACAATTTGCATTATTTCCACATACCCTCCCCTAATCCCTCTGTGCCCCAAAATATAGCGTGACAGTATAACGTGACGTAACTGAAAATTCCAAAAATAGTTGTCGTTCTACGAGTATAATGAGCTGATTTACACTAGACAGAAATATTGTATTATATGAAAACCAGAAGTATACTAAAACAGACAGTTAACTGCCCTTTGATCCCTCCTGATCCAGGGGCCTCACTGACTGCACGGAGACTTTACTGCGCTTTTCACAAACATGCGAACTCTAAAGTTCAAAAGCCACCTTCACAATTGTGTTTATCGCTGCCGTCAATCATAATTACGATCAAAAGCAACGAATCTTGAAACAGAGAAACACACAAAACGGATCGAAATCTACAAATCACAAACCATGACCTTTTGAACCCGTGAAGTAGAGTTTTGTTTCCTAAGAGGTCCGTTAAGATGATTGACAGCAGCGAAAAACGCAATTGTCGATTGGCTTCTGAACTTCGGAATTCGCATGTTTGTGAAAAGTGCGATCCTAATTTGCGGTCCACAGTCTACAAGAAAACGCACTATTTTTTCCACAAGAAGAAAAATATTCAGTTTTAAGATTTTCCTCATGGTATTTTTTTCTAACTTAAAGGAATAAAATCCTTTGCATTTTGAGACCTAAAAAAGTTTAAAGACTTCTCGCTCGCATTTTGTTGCGTTCACCAGCACGCACTTCAAACAATGTAAATAGATGAAACGATCGATAACATATTTTTTACCTGATACCGATGCGAGTTAAAAATTCGCTCCAGTTCTGTTTGTCTCACCCAAGACGAACTTTTCTTCATGGAAGATAACTATGCCGCTTTATAACTCGCCCGAAGTTTTTGTGCCAGCTAAACAATATGGAAACACTATTCACAGTGACTCCTTGGATATTAAAAAGACTGAACGTGACGCACTATTATGCCTTTGTTTACTTCTGATCACATCTTCAAGCGAAGTCTCTCTTTTCAAGCGATTCATCTTAATGCACAATAATTGACCCTTATATCAGTTAAAAACCTATGGTTCATTTATATTAATGCTGTTTTTGCCCCTCACATTGACTGTGTTCGTTCGTATTCAAAACACCTTTACGAAAATAAAGGTCGTATAAGTCATGTGTGTTATGTTTCGAGATAAATGGATTATACGCTTTTTTAAGTTACCATTTTGTGGTGACTTCAGTTAACATCTTCATAAAATGGTAAAAGAAATATCAAGAAACATCACGAGAGCTAAAAAACTTTCAAAGGCATGTTTCTGAAACTCGCTAATGCTGACATCAATATAGCGTGCTTGCTGAATGGGCGAAAACACAGAATTGTGATCACAAGATCATGTACAAATTTAATGATAAAAGCTAAGCAAGATACAAATACAAACAAAAGCAAACCCCCTGAAACCTCGACGTGGGCTACACTTGTATGCTCTACTCGGTCACCAAACCTTGTCAGTAATAGCTCCTATTTTCCTCAAGTCGCTCTCTGTGAAGCTCCCGGATGGGCATTGTGCGCGAAATTCTCAGAGTCCCTATTTTTGTCCGTGTCTTCTTTATCCTCAGTATCCGAAATTTAGACCTCCAAAGTGGCGTGTGTTGCATTAAATAGAAGGAAATATTTAAAGGAAAAGCCAGTCTTCTAACATGCCAAAGTTGTCACGTCCCTCGCTCATAGACGTGCGTAGTGCCATTCATCGGCAACTGAGCTGTTCGCTTCACTGACTACGAAGGCTTACAATCAAGTCTTCAGCCATAGTGTCGTCAACTGGTGAAATACCTTGCTCATAAATTGTGCTTCTTAATTGCTCATGTACTACATCGATCGATAATTCTCTCTTTGAGTTCACGAAGCGGCCACAGCGTTCCAAACCTGACGCTCACAATCATCTTTTAGTGTGAACCTACCGTGAACAGCGTGTCGCTTTGAATGCAACGCGAACATTTCTCTGAGTTTCCCAGCGCCAACATCATCTACCTGACTTAAACTCGAACAATAAAAAAATTATTGAGTGACTCCCATGTTCGAATCGCTTCGAACAACGCAAATAGCCTTCTTTAGGTTCGCAACGCTTTGTGGGTTTTTCAGGGGGAGCGCAGACGAGGTACAAAAAGTATCCGTGCAAGGGTACGTGCAAGAGAAACTCATATGAAACCATTTGTGAGAACATCGTTTTTTGGTACCAGACCCTCGTGTCTTCCCCCCCCCGGGAGACCACTTTTTGACACCGACGACCGAAAGCCCATTTTATGACTGGGCGCACAGGCAGCCCAGTAATAAGTTTAAAAGGGTAAAACAGCAACTTTTTGTTTTTCGTTTTGTGCATTTCGTACCATGGCATGAAACTTCATTTTCACGTTTTACGGGGGAAGTGACAAAAATTTTCTTTTTCTTTTCTTGGACATAGATACAGTCCTTTAGAATCCATTTCCAAAAAAAATCGTTATTACTCGTTAAAAAAAAAAACATTCTCGCACAGAACTTGTGACAATGGAAGCAGCGCTTGATCATCCTGATTATAGTTAATTGCCCTTGCATAGTGTAAACACGATGTCAGCATCACCAGAAGCACGCTCTATTTAATATTTGAGTATTCGTAACCTTTGGGTTTTGGAAAAAGGTTTGTTAATATTATTTTTTTCGAGAACTTCGTTCCCACGTTCTGCAAATTGTAAAATGTAACAAAGTCGGTTTCCTTCAATAGAAGGTGCAATTTGCTTGGCGAGAACCCTCAGGATATTGAAGGTGAAATCGAACACGTTGGGTTGGACAGCAGAGCGAAGAATTAAATATATGGCTAAATCAATGGAGATGGTCGCAAAGAAAAGCAGCTATAAATGGTAGTTTTAGGAACCCACCTTTCATTTCGACTACTATGTTGCAACAAAAATATCGCACCTCTTAAAATAAATGCAAATAAACTCTTGATTTCTTTCGTGTCTGTGTTCATTCCTCCTAAAATAAGCAACGAGAAAATGCGGCGATGCGATTGGTCGATTACTCCTACCAAGATGCATTTCGGACCGTGTCCAACCTCCCCTGCACTTTCCGAGGACGTCAGAAAAATACTTCTAACTCCTTTACTTAATTTACACCACGTTTAACTGTTAAATATTATTTTTCCATGTATGCATCAGGGGCGGATCCAGGATTTTTTTTAGGAGGGGGTGCACTCGTCTCTTGCTCTACTTCAACACCAAGAAACCACATAGTTTTTTTTTTCGGCGGAATACCAGTTGTATTAGAAAACCGAAGGTCATCTCAGGGGGGGGGGGGTGCGCACCCCCTGCACCCTCCCCCTAGATCCGCCCCTGTGCATTGCATTGACTGGCTATATTTTTTTTGGTAAATAAACTGAAATCGACAATAAAAACTGAAATTTTTTGTCCCTCAGGCCCCTATAGTAGAATGACTCTTTCCTTCAGCTTGTCGTCGGTATTTCTTTGACACGTAATGAATTCAAGTTATCATTATCAGCATCAGCATCATCATCATCATCTTATTTAGAGCAACGTTCAGATTACACAGATTACAATGGTACAGAGTCCATAATCAGAGCCCTCTTCTTAATATATTTCTCCATATTAAATTGTCCAACAGAGGGCCGGATATGCTATTGAAAAAGACCGGTGGCCGTGGTTGCACATACTGCGATCTAACATCAAGGTCATCAAGCAGACGATGTGCAGGTTCCGACATAGCTCGTTTTAGTTGATAGCAACATGTAAGGCTCAGACTGATAGTTTTTACTTGACGTTACAACGGCCATGTTGGGGCTCAAGCACCAAAACCGTTTCTCCGCTTGGAAGTAAAATTTATTCTCATGAAAGTTGTGCTAAAAAAATTGAATTGTATTGAAAGCCAACACCGCCGTTTGGTAACAAGGTTGCAGATTAAAAAAGCCAGACGTAGTAAATCGATAAAAATCGATATCGGAAATCAATCGATATCATAGATATTCATCGATTTAATCCGCCGATTAATATCGAGTGATATCGGAAATCGATAGAAATCGAAGTCACACAAAAAATAAGTTATCGATTATTATCGATTAAAAATCAATAGGAATCGATAGTACTCGATAACAATCGACAAAAAATCATCATCAATTTCTATCGGAAAATCATCGATATTAATCGCGACTCACAACTTTTTTTCTTTACCGATTTCTATCTATCGATATCGGAAAACGATATTCATCGATGATTGATACTGATTACTATCGATTATTACCGATTATCGATTAACTACGTCTGGAAAAAGACACACCAGAGACGTCATAACGCCGTTTCTTGTTTTTCTTGTTGCTCAAGACTGAGCCTATATCCCGTATTCTTGTTGGTACATCCCGAACTTTTTTCCACTTTTTGAACAAGTTGGATAAGAAAGAGAAGACAGCAGCCGGTCGCACTTAACAGGGAAGCGACAGTGAAACTCAAAGGATATGACTGGGTGGTGTCAAATATCCAACCTACGGTAGGAAAACAGTAATGTTATCATTTCATTTCACATCGCAAAAAGGAAAGGAAGGAACGCATTTTTAGCCATTAATGAATGAGGCTGAGTAGGATGTGAAGAATTTTGCAGATCGACGGGGATGTTATCTTCCGAGGCTGAGAGGCCGAGGTGGATAACATCCTCTGAAATCTGCGAATGCCGAATTCAATAATTGTTTTGTTATTCATTCCAAATATTTCAATCTAAGTTCTTAATAAGCTTACTTTTTCGTAGACTACGAGTAGTCCCCCATTTTTCCTCAGGGGTAGTAGAGCGAGCGAAACGCGAGCGGGCCTGAAAATCACCCCACGCGAGAAAAGGCGACATGCCGCGTGTCGCCTTTTCTCGCGTGGGGTGATTTTCACGCCCGCTCGCTTTTCGCTCGCTCTACTATCCCTGAGGAAAAATGGGGGACTACTCGTAGTCTAACTGTTTCGTAGACTTTCTTTAAAACTTTGGCCTATTTCTCGGTACAGTTTCAGGATATAAATAGATGTTTTTCCTTACAGATACTCTTCAAAAAGTAGATATTTACAAGACTTGCGTACCATTTGCCCAAACCGTGAACCGACCGGTTTGCCCATGTAAATGGTAAACAACCGTTATGTAACACCTGCGTTCCTTTTTTTCCAGTTACTATTGCCACTCTCGGAATGTCTCATGGAAAAGGTTTCAGGGACGGATCTAGGGGGAGGGTGCAGGGGGTGCGCACCCCCCCCTGAGATGACCTGCGGCTTTCTAATTAACACTGTGCAGTCGCTTCACAGCTAATACAAAATTTGCTGTATCGTTTGATATGTATTCTCAGCAGCTCACATTATGTTATTACCTAGTCAAAAGCCTTCTTCATATTCGCTTTTAAAATTTGTTTACGTCATCGATCAGTTACGCCATCCCTTAGTGGTGCACCCCCTCCTGAGAAAAATCCTGGATCCGCCCCTGGGTTTGTTAGTTTATAGTTACAAAGTGTGGTAAATGTTCATTACTCACCAGCCAACGGAATCCCTGCTAAATACGCAAAACCAAGAGCACCAAACATCAGTCCAACTCCTCGAGAGGCCTTGTCACTACCAACAAGGTCTTCAGCAACCACTGCCCTAAGCAACACAAATCCACTATCAAAGGCACCGTACAGTACCATAAGCGCAACGAAAATCTCAAAAAGCCAAGCCCCAGAGATTAGAGCAGTTGAACTTGCAACACCGATCATGGCGACTTGGAATATCTGCACACGATGGGATCGGAACTTATCGGCAAGCTTACCAGTAACAAGAGAGAGGAAAAAGGAGGATATTGACCAGGCTATGAGCAAGAACGGTGCTTTGTCTTTCGATACTCCCGTTTCTCTGGAAAAGGCAGGCTAAAACCCGGATGGACATGAGAAAAAAATATATTCAGAATTTATTTAATGAAAAAAACGCCCGTTTGAAGGTAGTGCAATTATGTCTGTGAGACCTTTAAATAGATTTGCAAAGAGGAAGACCACTAGGTGAGAATGAGATTTTCTCAATACTAAGTAGTGGGCGCGCATGAACCAGCGTTATTTTGGCGGGAAAAAGCGAAAGTCATCGTCATTTTACTACGAGTTATAGAATTTATGGTTTTAGCGAGAATATCGCCGTAGTAGCAGAAAACACCCCTCTGTAAAAGACCCAGTGAAACCCTTCCTGTTGGTTTAATTTAGTATACCCAGTAATAATTTGAGCTTTTCAGGTACCTGGCGAATAGTTTTCATAACAAAAACAAAAAACATTATTGCTATTGACCAAAAAAAAAATTGGAGGGTACAGGTAATCGATCTCGCATTAAAAAGAGTTGTTCTTCTAGTTCTTCTCGCTATAGCAGTACTTAAAAGGTTTTAAGAGGTTTCATTTCGGTTAAGATGTCAGGCCTGCCTCTCCTTTTAGCTTTTATGGGAGATACACAACAAAGAAAAAACGCAGTGGAGAGGAAGCCAACCCGCTGACATCTTCTCCGAGAACTCGGTAATGAAATAGATTCTAATTCCACTGGGTCTGTTACAGAGGGGTGTCAGAAACAAGTTATCAAATGTTAGAAGTTTTATTATTTTGCCTTCAAGAGAGGGCTTAACCTCCTTCAATAAAGATATTAGTGCTAACTTTTCTGGTGTAAAAAAAGTCGTAAAATGAAGCTTAAGAACTCCGAAACAAATCTCGTACTCGTAGTCGTTCTCATCCTCGAATCTAAAGGTCTCTAGTGTCTCTCGAATGAGCGCCTTCCCTTAGGAAGCACATATCTCATAGCAATATATTTGGGTAAGAATTAACGCTAATTTCCTAAACTTTACACTGTGCAAGGATGCTATGTGCTTGACGCACTGAAAGAAATTAAACACGGCGTCGGAGCGTTTCAATTTAATGCGAATCTTTCCTTGCTTGCTTCTTGGTATTTATTTCCAAGCATTTTTTTTAGTTTGGCAATTTTCCTTCCGCTCTCAGCCATATTCTAACTCTCACGATTTGACGTCACAAAGACGGACCGCCTCCATGCATTAAGGAGACCATTCGCAAAGAAAAAAAAAACAGACTGACTTACCGCGTGAGTTGCAGGAACATAACAACCAAAGGCGTACAAACTTGTTCCCAGTAAAAAGATAAAAAACGATTTGTCTTTCAGAAGTGAAAAGTCAAAGATATCTTTCGGCTTTACGCACAATTTTTCTGGAGAAGTTCCTCCGGGGGTATCAGGTGGCTGGCGGTATACTAACGCAATAAACACCATAACACTGGCAATTCCCGCCAAAATTCGGAAAGTCCCGGATAAACCTTTCTGCTCAACCACAAGTTGGATGACTTGACTAAACACAATAGTACCTGAATACTGACCAGCGGTGCATATGCCATTGACGAGTGCCAAATGTCTACAATAGATCAGTGATGTAGCATTAGCTAGGGAGATTGTTGAAAGCACTGCGTTTACAGCCCGGGGGTACTACCATATATGGGCTATATAGGTATGTGCCGCTGTGAAGGGTATGGTTTTCAAGCAGTTTACTCTAGGATAGGGTATATAAATCAGAGCGTTTGGCTCTAGAATAGGGTATCATTTTTCAGGAAACTGATCAGTTGGTTGAAGATTTTATCTAGACTAGGTACACGGCTACTCTAGGATAGGGGGAATTGGGGAGTTTACTCTAGTATAGGGTAGCAAAATTCAGCTGAACTAGCTCTGGTAAAGGTTAAGGGTTCCAGGCTCCCAGCGGCACATCCCCACCCAGAAATTCCTAAAGTGCCCCCCCGCCCCGGGGTTTACAGCAAATGGCAGAAAGACGTGGATGATGATCTTGTAATCAATTTTTCGCGCCATTTTTCAGGTCTGGCTTTCACATTCATCAAAAAATGAGCAAAAGCTGATTTAAATTTATCGTTGCCGGCTACATTAAGGACAGTACGCTTCGATTAATATATTTTTTAATTTCGCGCGAGCGGAATATGATATGAAATAGGAAAGCCAACTGTCGACGAAACTTCGCCTCATGCGAGGGAATCCGGATTCTGGAATCCAGTAAAGTTTTGCTTTTGCTTTTTGGCTTGGTTTTGGAATCAGTAACAATTGCAATCCGAAATCCAAGTTCCACTAACAAATAATCCACAATCAGGAGTCCATAACCTGCCGGAATCCAATAACTGGAATCCGGAGTCCACGGTGTGGGACCAAACACTGTAAAGATAAATGTTCAAATTTGCAGGATGACATGGAGTGCTGAGTTTCCAGTCCATTTGGGTAATACGGCAAGCAAAGCGTACGCACTATGATTACCAAGTGATAAAAGGGCTAGCCCCTTTATACTCTTTTGTTACCGACGGCAAACTGCAAATGCGAAGCCCTGGGGAATACGTAGTAGCCGTTTGCAAAACCACTCTCAGTGAGTCATAAAGACTACTAACTTGCAATAGAGTCTATTATTAGCAGTGTTTATGGACCGCCCAATCAGATCATTTAAAAGATCTGACACGTAAGATGTTTGCCCTGACCTACTTTCGCGGTTTTTCGAATACAGCTTAAATAAGATTTGTACAATAAGGCGCAAATTTTTAAATTCTTTTCCTTGCAAAATTTCTGAATATGTGAAAGACCCTTAAGATAAAATTTAAATAAATGACAATTTCTAACACACACACGCTCAGCCGTACATCGTAAAACATTTCAGGGTTTGCAGTCAAAGGGCTTGAAAGTTATTTGAATTTGAATTTGTCATTTTGTCACTTAACTTGAGAGGAAATACCCGAATAATAGGACCTAAATTGTATGAATATGCCACACAGGCTAAAAACGTAATAAAACTAATTAAATACAAGATAATATCTGACCTTTTAAACCACAACGAGATGGCTCTGTATGTTGTTATGAAGACAAAACAAGCACCAGTTCCAAAAACCACTCCATAAGTAAGGAACAGATGATAGACCCGAGTGGCGAACGAGGACGCTCCGAGACCCGCTACACATAGAATTCCTCCAACAAGTGAGGTCATCCGACATCCCCATAGGTCAGCTGCCATTGTAACAAACGGAGCCAGAATATAAAGGAAACCTTGGTGGATTGACCCAACCCAGGCTAAAGCCAAAAAGGGAAAAAAACGATGTCAGTCATTTCAGTGAGGGCAGTGATGCACTTGTTTTGACTTAAAAAAAGGACTTGGTAGGGGTAACACCGGTAACGCCCTTGGGAATCCAAGGCAGTCTTCGATTCTGGATTGCAGGTACTGGATTCCAATCTTTGTCAGTGGCACTTGGATTCTGGAATTCAGTCGTTAGTGGGATACCGGATCTTGAGCTGTATTCCCGATTTCAAAGCCTAGGAATTAGGGATTCCACAAGCAAAAATTTCCCTGATTCCAGAATCCGGATTCTTTTTAATGAGGGGTTACACTGTGGCCCACAATACGCCAGAAACAGCAGAAACAACTTACCGAAATAAACATTACATTAGATTACGAATCCGAACTGGTTACCAATAACGGCGGAATTTATGGCCTATTCCAGGGGTTCAGTTTGCGGGAACGGCGTAAACTAAAGAAAAGTGCACCGGAAAAAACATCGAGGTGTGTATGGAGAAAGGACAAGAAATTTCTCTCTTTTTTTCTCTCTCCTTCTCGTCCACTGTTGTTTTCCTTCGCGCTCTACTTTCGCCTCATGCAAGGAAATCCGAATTCTGGAATACAAGAAATTTTTGCTCGCGGAAGCCTTGGAATCTGGAACACAGCTAAAGGAATCCGGATTTCCACTGACAAATGGAATCTAGAATCCCAGATGCACCGACAAAGACTGGAATCCATTACCTGGGAATCCGGAGCCACGGTATGGAATCCCAGAATCCAAGATTGTCTTGGATCCCCTTACATAGGGCGACTACTTCGCGCCACTCTCCAACTGACTCTCCACTGTCTGAACGCCGCGCGCCTGTGATAACCTTAAAAAGCAATTTATAGAAGTTCATCCTATCCAACGGCCTTGCCTTACGTTACGTTATTTTACGTTATATAGTTAGAGAAGTACCTGAATCTGCTTTGCCAGCATCAAATTCATCCAGTATGTAAATAAAGAGGACACCAAAGCTGTTTTCAACTCCAGCTAAAATAAACTGTGTAACGCAAGCCGCAGCACAGACACACCAGCCAAACCCTCCGTCCGGTGCCGTCTTTTCGTTACTTTTTTTATCCATCAAATCTGTCTATGGGCTCGATTTCCGTCGTCTCCCGGGTCCGGTCTTACAGCGGCTGGTAATCGAGCCTAAACTGTCTAAAATTCCCGAAAACAGATACCGGCAGTTCCATAAGATGTGAAGTGAAAATAGAAGACTTCTCTCATGGTCCCCACTGATTACGATATGTTACTCCAATCGCCAATACGTCGCTCAGCCGGCATAAACTATGTATAGGTATGACTGGCAGAAAGACTGAAAGGAAATGATCTCTAGGTTATCCGTATACATGTCATGTCAACGAGACGCTTTTAATTTTTACCTACCAAATATTGACGAGGGAAAAAATATCTGTTGTAGTTAATTTTTTATCTCAGGTAATTTTTGTTTTTCTTTTGTCTTTTGGTATGGTAATGCATGCTAATGAAGTTGAAACAAAAGGAAAAAAAAATGACCTCAGATCAAAAATTAACTAAAACAGCTTGTGTCACAGACGAAACTAAACTAACCGCGGTTGAAGCGGCTCTGTTGACGTTGGTTCATTCACTGGCACAAATATAAACCAATCAACTTACGAATGTAAAGTTTAAAACGGCGCTGATAATTTTGTTTAGGGACGGACCATTAGAAAACTTATCGGGGGGGACGGGGGGACGGGGGGACGGGCGACGTACAAAAAAAATATTCGGGCAAGGGAAAATTAAATGAAAAAAAAATCATGCAAGCCAATTAATACTAAAAAATATTCATGCTATGGCCTAAAAAAATTCATACAAGGAATTTGATAACGAAAAAAAAGTCCTGCGGCTCGAAAATTCCCCTCCCCCCCATAACTTTTCTAATGGTCCGTCCTTTAGAATGACGTCAACAAATTCTCACTGACCTGTGACGAGAGATAAGAGGCCTCAGCTAGAGTGTAAACAAAAATGAACGCGAGTATTAAACATGGGAAATACGAAGCTAAAAGCGAGGATTTAATTTTTATTGCGATTAAATGTGACCGGAAAAACTAACTAGCCTTAGCCTTTGTAGAGTAAAGCTTAATAAATAAGTTGTTGCTGTTGGCGTGACTTGTGATTGTGAAATGAAATGTCTTGAGCTGTGAGCGACACGCCAGTCGTGATAGGTGGAACAAAAGAATTATTTTCCGATATCCGTGATTAACTGACCACAATTTTTTTCGTAAAAACTACTCGTCGAAGAAACACGAAGCAGAAGACCTGTTGATGTTAGAACCAAACTCTATTAGGTAATTTTCACAGCGAGTAATTAATTTGCAATTCATATTTTACCAAACAGAATGGTAAAATGTGACAAATATTTTTAGTGGAACAAAACAAAAGCATATGGCTAGTCCCTTAGCTGAAGAGATTCGGTAACCGCTAAGTTGTCCACTGAAGTACGTACATATGCATGTAGGAATTTCAATGGAGTATTTCAGTCTTTCGGCGGCTTTTTAAAGGGGAAACAAGTCTGTATGATCATGAAGTCGCATAAATTCAGTCAGCAAACTTAGGAACACAATCTACTCTGTCTACATCTATTAATTGCGAAAATAATATATATTTTTTTAACAAAGGTCTACTTTCAGAGTACTTACGTTACAGCAAGCGTCTTCGAGGCTAAAATCACTGAGGGCCGATATTAATGAT